TATATATATATATATATATATATATATATATATATATTTGTAACAGAATTGGAGAAAATGTGCATTGATTTCATGGTTTTTATTAAATGTGCTATTTAGTGACTGCCTTATGTAGCAGCGATTAATGAGAATGATGAGAAGTAACTTTTTTATCAATCCATACACTTATGACCTTACTTCTCAGAAGTAAGATCATAAGCATAGATATGGTTTCACTTATTGACCATTTGGCTTAATAATCAAGTTTAATCCTAATTGTGGTAATTAAAGAAGGACTTCCTGTATATATACATTTCCTAAATAATTCAAACCTAATATTGTATTCTGCCTAGTGAGATCACAAGTCTGTAGCATGCCTTTTGCTGAGTTCATTACGTATGTATCATCTGCCTTCCAGGTATAATGGGATTACAGTGGGCAAAGCATCTCGGAAATTCAGTAAAAGTCACAATTAATGACTATAATGAAAATTCAGTGACCATGATACGAGAAAATTGCCATTTAAATAAGATGAAAGTTGTGATGAATTTTGAGGAAGATGACTGTGATGAAGCAATGGAAGAAGGGGAAGAAAATCTGCCTACCATTGAGGTGACAAAAATGGATGCCAATGTCATCATGCATTTGAGAGCATTTGATTTCATGTAAGTGTCTTGTCTTACTTCAATCCCGCTTTCCCCAGTTGTGCTTTCCAATATTTAGATGGAGAATACTACAGATGTAGAACACAAAAAGGAGATTGATATGCAGGTTCAAGGTTTACCTCTTTTAAGTCAACTAAAATACATAGTTCACAGGATATTCTATTACGGTTTAGTATTCTGTGAACTGGGCCACAAACTGATTGATTGGAGAAAGGACATCAGTGCTTTTGCTGAAGGAATTATAATTATGTTCTGGAATCTTTGACTTGGCAAATTAAGATTGCCTAAAATTATCTCTTAAGAATCATTGTTGCACTTTGGTTTCATGCTGCTTTCTTCTGCCTACAATATCTGTTAAATCCCAAATTTTAGAAAACTGTTTGCATTCTTCATCTGGGTTCAGATAGTTTAATTGGGCTCGTTGCATACTTTTCTATCTATATAGCTTTGACAATCAGCTTATATTGTCAACATTTTGTTTTACTTTAGATATGAAGAGGCAGTAGATTTTAAAAAAACCATGACAATATAATTCATGAAATTGCAACCTTAGGCAGACAGGACTTTTTTGAAAGGAATTCCTGTTGAAGTGTATGGCATTTTAGTAAGCAAGATACAGGTTGTACATACATTTTCTTACTTGTATAATTTTTACTGTGCTGTGTTCTGTCTCCTACATTATCATACAGCCACCTGGACCCATTTGGATCATCAGTAAACTACTTAGATGCAGCTTTCAGAAATATAAGAAATCTTGGAATTGTTTCAGTGACATCAACAGATACAAGTTCTCTCTATTCAAAGGCGCAGCATGTGGCCCAACGTCATTATGGTTGCAACATTATCAGGACAGAATACTATAAGGAGCTGGCTGCTAGGATGGTACTTGCTGCTGTGGCAAGGTGCAGTTGCATTTCTTAATAGTTCTTTCAAATTCGAATATTAGATGGCTGCAGTTTTTACCTTGTTTATTCTTATACAAGGGACTATGCAAAATTGATTTTTACATCATGTTTCTCAGTAACCTTCAGCGATTAGATCAAGAATTATGAATGTGTAAACAGAAAACTTCTTCAGAGCCTGTATACAAAAGGTTTGATCCACAAAGCTGAATGCTGTATTTTTGAGCCTCTTGCATCCTTTTTAGTCTCCGAATGTGAACAAAAATAGGCAGAAACTAAATGTCTAGTAAATTATTGGTTTGCAGGTCTAAGGAACAACTGCACAAGTTTGGGCCCTTACTGAAATAGATTTCTTTCAAGAAAACACATCCAGACAATTACTAAAAAGCCATTTCAATAAAGGGAGAACAAAAAAATTATGCTACATAAGAATAATCACCAGATAGAATATTCCAGGATTAAGGCAATTATGAAGGTGGTTTCTTAATCAAATTGATTTAGGAAGCGTCAACAGCAACCCCATTATGTATAGATCTTTGAAATGCCCAAAAATTATTCTGGAACAGCATCGAACTGTTGACATAAAAACACTGTCATAACAGGCAAGGAACTCTCTTCTCCTGTTGGGCCCCTCCCCTCTAGAACCACATCTCTCTTTTCATTATGTGGATACAAATCAGTTGCACAATGCGAATAGACACATTTTAAAACACTAATTTACACTTTTATTTTGAGTTCATCTTTATCAAGCCTGATTTCATGCAAAAAAACAATTTGATGGAATTAGGAATTTTTTAAAAAAAAAATTAGACAGCTATGATGAGGTCTCCCTGAGATTCAATCGACCTCCGCTCTGGTGGGAACCCTGCCTCTCTGCCCAGCTCTTTGCCAAATGTGATTGAAGTTAGGAGTAGGACATTTGGGAAGAGTTTGGCCTTTGCTGGATTCTATTCTTAATAGTCTCTCTTTCTACAGAGCTGCTGCTAGATGTAACAAAGGCATTGAAGTTTTGTTTGCTGTGGCTCTTGAACATTTTGTACTAGTACAAGTGAGAGTGTTGAGAGGTCCCTCTTCTGCAGATGACACTGTCAAGAAAATTCGGTACCTAATTCACTGTCAATGGTGTGAAGAGAGGATATTCAAAAGAGAGGGCAATATGATAGAAGGTAAATCCTATTTTGTAATTTCAGCTAGTGTTCTGTTGCTTGTTTGTTCAATAGTAATCTGTTCTGACCCCCCCCTTCTCCGTCCAGGAACGAAAGCCAAAATAGACGTACAAAAGAATCAGTCCAGACTCTTGTTGGCTGCAAGCCCAAAATAAGCAAAGAGATAAGCTCTCTGGCAGCAATTAAACAAGCTTCTCACAGCAAACCACTTGTCCAAGTTGGTTTCTCTGAATCATGAACGTGAACGAGAACGTTGACTCCTGCAACCAGGGCGTGGCACAAACAGCCCCTTTTATAATCAGGAGAGGATCTTAATCAGCATCAGCTGCTTGTAATCACCTCCTGTAGCTGTTCTTTACGCCAAGTAGCCCTTTGCCTGCGTGCATCCTGAAACAACTCCCAAATGTTTTCCTGAACACTCCCTGTGATCCAATGCTCTGCTGCCACCTGGTGGCCAACCAGTCCCTCCTCGCCCTGCTCGGAGTCGGCACCCTGTCCAGGGTCCCCCACCTCCTCCAAGGCCGACTCATAAGACCCCCTCGCTGTCGGAGTCTGGCGGCAGCTCCAACGGCTCCTGCTGGGCCACAACTGTAATCTATTCTGAAATTGACTTTTGTGCAGCAGACTATTTCGGTACAGTGCTGAATTAGAATCGAGATGATAGTCCTGTATACATTTTATTTATATCTTTCCCCTTTTTGCAACAGAAAGCTCTTAACAATAAGAAATAGCAACAGCATAAAGACAAATAAAATTAATGAGCTAATAATTGAAAACAATATTGGAATCATTTTATGAGAAATTAGAACTACTTATTGTACAGGAAGGCTGTAATCATGTACACAATTACTAGGACTTAACTTCAGATGATATTTGTAAAACATGCTGTGGACATATAGAGTTGAATAATGATTTGCCTGGACTTGAATTTGTCTGTTCCATGGAGTGCTTCTTAGGGAAAAGCATCTGCCTTAAATTTACTGAAATAAACTAGTCTCTTGTAGTGCCATGAGGCAGGTTAAATCAAGTTACAATGATTGGATCAAAATCAAAACCTAAGCTTTTGACTTATTGAGATTGACTTCAATCTCATTGTTCAAGTGTTAAGCCTATTTATTATTACACTGGAACTTCAGCTCTCCATCAAGTTTAGGAAGTATAATCAGAGGAACTAAGCTGTAATATAAGTTCATGTTTTATGCATGCCTACAGGGATTAATTCACCCATTTCTGAAATTATAGCGTTTAGTTAAACAGCCAGAACAAATTACTTTGTAATTATAATGGCTTTTAATTTATTGGCATTTCAATTTCCATAACATTCATAAATTATATATCACTCAGATATTGGTCTAGAAGAAACATGTTTTACTGATTCTTTTTCATAGATAATCCTTACTGGCAGCTTCCATGTGACTGCCATAACCAAATGACTGGGAAGACAGCAGTTGAACTGGGACCTTTGTGGTAAGTATTCTTTTTGAGTCTCTTCTCACTTCAGAATAAGAATGAAAAATTAGATTGAGAAGGATGTGTAATACATTAATAAAATACTCTTTCCCATACCTAGCATCTAAAGTACAATCCCTTTTTTACTTACTTGGAAGTACCGTATCTTTTGGAGTATAAGATGCACACACACCCCTAAAAGAGGGTGAAAATTTGGGTGTATCTTATCGTCTTACGTTTACCTTTTTTGTTGGATATTATATTGTATTTTTCATTGTGCAATTAAATATTTACACTGTCCAGTTGCAAAAATAATCCTTTAGGGGACTATTTTTTCATTGGCTTTAACTGAACACTGAAGTGCATTCTAAATATATGTAATATATCCATTTTCAGTTACAATTGGTCCTAGACATACAATAGTTCATTTAGTAACTGTTCAAAGTTACAATGGCACTGAAAAAAGTGACTTACGACCATTTTTCACATTTACAACCATTGCAGCATTTCTATGGTCACATGATTTACATTTGGATGCTTGACAACTGGTTCATGTTTATGACGGTAGCACCTTTTCTGAACCTCTGATAAGCAGTCAATGGAGAAGCCCAATTCACTTAACAGACATGTTAATAATTTCACAAATTTCACAAATTTCACATTAACAAATGCGGCAAGAAAGATCTTAAAATGGGGCAAAACTCTTACTTAGCAGCATAAAGGTTTCTTTTCTATTGTTAATCCAGATTTTCACCCATGTGCCTCTTTGTTTCTCATCTATGGCTTCCTCATAACCCAATAAGGCATTAACACTGAGTTTTAATGAATCTCAAAGAACGCTTCTGCTTGGCTGTTCTGTTATTATTACATTCTAATTTACTGCTGTATCAGAATCAATCTGAAATCGGGCAATTTATTTTTACCTAAAATGTTACCCATTGCACTCCAGAAGAGATTTATGCTGTTTGAAAAAGTTCTGTGCGGTTATTAGAAACAAGAGGAAATAAATAAAAACATTTGCTTGATCATCATAAGGTAAATTTCTGGTTACAGTTGGGATTTTTGTAAAAAAAAAACAACTGCAAACATATTTGCTATATAATTTTGAATATGCATAACTAGAATATAGTTTTCCTAATTAATAGATTCCTTCCTTCTTTTTTAAGATTTACTAGGAGAAATATGCTGAGTACACTTTTTTAATCCAGTTTTATTTTTGTTGGGAACAATAAAGTTTTGTTGTGTGGGAAACAGGCCAAGATTTTTTTAGCTCCACTAATTAACTATCTAAATATGTTGTTTGCAAGAGAAATCCAAATCCCTTTAAAATCTAGAAAATAAACGCCCCATGACATTTTTTTTTCTAAAATAAATACTCTCTCATTTTAAAATAAATTTCTCCATTACATTCTATAGTTTTGTTGTATTGTAGGTCAGGATCCCTCTTCAATACAGGATTTCTTAGAAGAATGCTGTTTGAAGCAGTTCAGTATGGCCTAGAAGACATCCAGGCACTTCTAAAAACCCTGATTTGTGAGGCAGAATGCACAACACTGAAACAGTTTACAATTCATGCTCCTAGCAGTCAGAGTAAACAAGGTGAGAAGGCATGATGATGGTAAAAAAATGTTTAGTAATTTTTAAAAAGTCCAATTTAATACATAAAGCCAACCAGGGGCTGTAAATCAAGCTTTGTGTTCTGGTTGTTGTTGACTTATGTGAAGAAGGAAAATAAATTTGTGATGTTAATTTGTGCAAAAAGGCAAAACATCCATAAAGTAGTATGTTACGGAGTAGGAATAGAAATAAAAATAAATTTTTATTTGGACAAGTGTGTTCAGACATATAAGGCATTTGTCACTGGTGCAGAAGCTTTCAGTGTATATGCAAAATAATCATAATAATACCAATAATAGAAGGTAGTAGAAAAGATTAAAAGTAATAAGCTATACTGCATGAGTAAAATATACAGAAGACAGAACTTCAGCAGAGTGATGGCACAAGGGGAAAAATGGTCTCTGTCTGATTGTTTTGGTATGCAATGCCCTACAGCAGTGTCCTGAAGGCAGTAATTGAAACAGCTTATGTCCAGGATGTGAGGGATCTGTAGATATTTTCTCAGCCCGACTTATTGAGTAATAAGATGTGTAGGTTAGGGATTTGATTTCTTAAAAGTGCTTTAAGTTGCATGAGAATTAGCACTTCCATGCACCTCTTTAAAATGCCAATTTTTAATAATCATAACAGTGCTAGGTCTTGGCATATAGCAGAGAATAGCATGCACTAATTTAAATAGCTCATACTGAGTATTTGTGGACTGGTGTTGAATGTATTTTCATTTGGACACAATATGCAGTAAATCAGTCTTTGCTAATGCTGTGTATCACTGTTCTGATGCATAGCTATTTAAAATTGTTCTTGGAAATGAAACTGCAGCTAAAAGCACACAGACCCTCTCTAATATTAAAGAAACAATGAGAGAAATCAATTTTTTTTAAATTCTGGAGCTATACAATAAAAAGTAAGTCTTCTGACTTCTGAAGGGCAAGTTATTCTAAGCAAGAGTCCTTTAACTATAAAGGTACTATTTCAGTTATTTAGACTGTTTCTCCAACGCAACCTTTTCATCTTATCAAATATATATGTTCCTTATAATGACTGAATTATCATTGTTTTCCTTAAATTTTAGAAGAATGTGGTGTATTCATTAAGACATCAGATCCTGCAGCAGATTACTACATTGTGCACGGTAGGTAGTTATCAATGCAAAATAATATCCGAAAACAGGAATAATTATTCTAGGATATTCGAGTTTAGAAAGTCAGTGAAACAAGAAAAACTTTCACTGAACAACAACACTAAACACTGGGATAACATTCTTAATGTTGGTTTGCACTAGATATCCATGAAACCACCTCTGTATGAAACAAACATTTTGTGACTTTTCCTACCTAGTCACATCCAGAACAATTGTGCCAGAAAATCTATGTCTGGACCAGATTCAGCATACACATGAAACAGTAATTGCTGGCTGAAGCACGCACTTAAATGTTTTGCGCATTCCGTATTTCATACACCATTTCCCTTGCTAAGCAAATATTTATCAAGATATTTAAAAAGTTCTGATGCTTGCCCTCTGTTGCAGAGAAAAGGAAAAGTGTCGACCTCAACCAGAATGGAGCAAAGCGCCAGAAGTTAGAAAGTAATGCTGAGCATCCTGCTTTTTACTATAATATCCACAGGCATAGCATTAAAGGAATGAACATGCCAAAGTAAGTGCAATTTTAAAACATCTCAATGGTGTAAATGTTAAGGAATATGGAAAGCCGGGCGTCTTGGAGCCGGTCATATTCTCTGCTCCTGTTAAGAGTTGGAATTGTGTGTGGGGGGGGGGGGGGGGGAATAGGAAGAGGAAGCCTAAAGGCACTTACCGTATGCCTATACTTTCCCCCCCCCTCCAGGTTAAATAAGTTCTTGCAGTCTCTGTTTGAAGCCGGATATCGTGTAAGCCGAACTCATTTTGACCCCATGGGTATCCGCACCAATGCCCCCTTGATGCAGTTTAAATCCATCCTTGTAAAGTACAGCCTTCCTACGTACACAGGGGGACAAGCAGATGGCTCTTTGCAGGCGATTGAGGATGTCCAAGCGGGAACCGAAGGGGACTTTGCGGAGGAGAGTATTTGAGAGGGGTCCTCCTGGGACCTCCTGTCTTTTTCTGGAGATTTACGTTGAGAAAACCTACTCTGAGCCCTTTGTCTCGACTTTTGTTCAACTATTTTAACATTTCAAATTTTTCAGGGGGAAAAAAAAAGTGATGAGGAATCACAAATGTACAGTTAATTTCCCAGCTCAGCAGGAAACTTTTTCATGTAATGCTTGCATTTAAACTTGGTAAACGCCGTTTTTCCTGGCTTGTCGTTTTTTGTTCAGGTGTATATTTTTAAGATAACGTGGAAGTGAAAGACGTTGAGCACGTGTGCAAGCACAGCTGGTACCTACCAATAAAGTGTTTTCGTTTGTTTTGAGTCTCAAGTCATTAGTGGCTTTCAAATATGATTTGGAGGGATAAGAGGAAAGAGGTTGGTTAGCCTGACCTAGGGATTATATTTAAGAGTCTAGCTCTGCCACCAATTGCTTTCTGTAGTTAAAAGTATCAGAAGTCAGAACGTTAATATTTTTATTGCTTGTAAAATAGCAATTACTCACATACTGTAGTTTCTAAACAGTTTGGATAAAACTCAAAATGGACTTTAATTTCTTCCTCCTCCCCAAGCTTGCATTCTATTACTGAAATATGGTCCTTGATGTTAGATGTAATTCAGGGACAAATATTCGGATAGTCTTTATCAATGTTTTTAATACAAAAGTGTACCCTTCAAACCCTATACGTCTTCCTGGAATTCAGTTACCTTCCTTGGATTGTTGTATCTATCTAAATAGGCAAAATAGCACACATCAGAATTGTTCACATTGCCACTATCAAGCATGATTGATATTGGACAGCTAATTGCCATAGAGACAAAAGCAATCACTTAAGCTTGCCCTCATATTCATTCCGGTACTCAATATATTAAGGGCAGTTAGTTTATACTGTAATGAGGAATTTTCTGTTCCTCCAAATCCCACACCTTCACGGGAAGAATAATCAGCTGCTTTGGTCAGTATGTATGGTAGTTGGATGATCCCAATGATCCAGGATGGTCTTCCTTTTCTGCTTCTACTATTGCAGAGATAGGGAATCTCAAAAAGGGACAATCAAAGACAAGAGTCTTCTGTAGCACTTGTTTTACCATATAGTAAAGGGGGGGGAGCTGTTGTAGAGAAAACAGTGAAATTTATTAGGGCTGGGCGGAGAGTTGAGAAGGGCACTAAATGGACAAGTTGCTTCTTCAGAATTATTCTCTCCTTCAGAGTCATAGTACTACTGTAAATGGATATGAATCACATCAGAACTTAGCTAGTCACAAAGGATGCATTATTCAGGCTCTTATTTCTCTTTGGGATTTCTTATATATATATATATATCCATGATCTCTGAACTTCAGGAATGAGATGTAACATTTAATGACAGGACTGTCACTTTTTCCAAAATAAGCTTGCTTGTGAAAATGTGGCAGTAAGGCAACGTCTCAAAGCTGCCAATAGTTGATCCATTAAAAAGTCACAGTGCGATTCATTGATTAAAACAGCTACTTTATATATTTAAGTAAATATAAATACTTATCGAATTCACCATAACAGAAGTTAAAAATTCACATTCTTTCCCACCAACTTGGGAACAATGTACCTTCCCCCTAGACAGATAAAATCTTTTCAGAATGCTATATTTGATCTGCATCTAGGGCTAAACAATTTCTTGGATGGGTTATAAAAGCAAGCTTTTTTTGCACCTGATGTTTGCTTATACAAAACCATTTTTCACATAAAAAGAAATGTGATTATATTTAGTGGACATGCACTAGCAAGCTATATAGTTTGTACATTACACCAAAAATACTGAACAAAACTGAATAAGCATGATACATCTTCACCACCCCACCACCCCACCCCAGCTTGGATTTATAGCTGTCATGGCACAAACTGGTTAAAAAAAAATCAGGAACCTCTAACATTGAACGGAGTACCATAAAGCTTTTTCTTTTGTATGATCATCAGATCTTTTGAATTAGTAGGCATATTTGCAGCTTTGAACTGTGGTAATTGATTTTTTGACTTTTACACTAGATCATAATTTTTAGACCAACCGTGAGAAGTTGGTAAATATTGAAGCTAATCCCCTACAAGTCCACACTTTTCTGTAACATTTCTTAGCATATTCAAAACCCTCAACGTTTCAGTGAAAAGAAGGGTTGTTTTTTTTACATCATCAGGCATACAGAAGGATAAGTCTTCTACTGTCATAGATAACTGACTTACAGAAATCTGGAAGATGCGATATGTAAATATAGTTTTGAGCCTATCAAAATTAAAGATCATTACAATCCACATTGCATTTACTTGTACAAGTGCCAAGTATAGTTGACATGGGAAAGTTTCTTCAAAGAAATTTGTCAACATTTGCATCATTGATTTCTATTTTTTAGCAGTATCAGTACAAATCAGTATATTTTTCCCTTTTTTTCTGGGAATGTTAATATGATTGTAACATCATCAGCTCTTCAGGAACTGTGATTAATAAAATTTGGAACTTGCCTCAGAAATGTATGCTCATTCTATAAAGTCTTTTCCAGAGCTAGTTGTATCTCACTCTTTAAACTGCAATTAAGTAATGCAACAGTATTACAGTTAGTGCTGTCTTAGCTATCGTGTGAAGTTGGAAAGAATAATTTACCTTTAATACGATGAAAACAGGAAAAGGAGTAGCTTGCATTCCCATGGACACTGGGAACGAAGACAATGTTGTATATGAGGTGGCTTTTTTTATTTACAAAGCAGAATGACAGGGCATTACATAAGAATTCAGGTACCGCTGTGAGCAAATCTATCTTCCAGCCTGCTTCTTCTTTAGCATCTGAATTAGTTATTTATTAGCAGACCTATTCTTAATCGTATGTAACTTAACAGAATTATCACACCTCTTCTTCCTTTGTCAATGTACATCAAGATGCTAGTGGAGTCTGCTCATCCAAAGCCTTCCAACATTCCATGTTCCAAAGAGATTTTGCTGCCACTAACTTCACGCACATGAACCAAGAGCCACCAAATCAAAAGAACACATACGACAGTAACAATGGAATGTTCTGATCATTCAGTTCTTCAGAAAGAAAAATATAAGTTAAATATCACACAAAATACTGCCTAAAGATACTCATTGGGGAATCCAAGTCCATGTGCAGTTGTCCATGATGCAGAGAATGGTACTTCAACTTAAAAGCAAAGATATAAAAGCAATTATTGTTCCAATTCAAAACAACCCTTTTTTATAAGGCTTATTTGTGTTCCTTTGTTGGTGCGTAGTAGAGCTCCATCGGCTTATTCACTTTCCAGTACTTTTCACTGACCAACTCCAAGGAAAAAGAACCGTTTAATACCTAAAGTGGGAGTCAGAAATAGGGCCAAAGTTAAAAACAGAAAAGGGTTCTTGCCATTGGAAAATGAATAATAAAAGAAGAAAAACCACCAATAACTAGAAAATTACCAACACTGACAAATCACAACTGGTCAACAACTCACTCCTGTCTATGAATAGGCTATTTAAACCAGATATTTCAGTTCCAAAGGAAAAGCAGCTGCAGAGCAAATGTGGGTGTTACAGTATATTTCCATTAAAAAAAAAAGGCTATAGATCTTTTTAAATATCTTCTTCCAGTTGCAAAATAGAGCCCAGTGCTTTAAGAAACAAATGTGTATTTTGAAATTTCTGCACTCTACCATCAAGGTAAATAAAGCTACTTTGTTCCAAGCACAGTAATGTCAAAAGCCATTCCAGCTTTGCAAACTGAAAGAAATATACCAATTCTGATCTTTGAACGCTGAATGTGACAGAAGAGCGAATATCTTTAGATCTTCAAACATTTAACACTTTGAAAAAAAATCTTATCAGCATTTAAATTTTTGGGTTTAAGTAATGACAAAAGCTTTTAGCTGTCTGCATTTTGTCCAGTAACTTTCATGCTGATAACCTTCATCAAGAACACATCAATTACAATCAGAAAATATTTACATTTCCCCATCAAATATGTTAGCAATAGCACAGGACATAATCCTGGTTGCTTGCTACCGTTTCCCCGAAAATAAGACATGTCCTGAAAATAAGGCCATGCCAGATTTTCGGGGTGGGCAAAAATATAAGCCCTCCCCCGAAAATAAGTCCTAGTGAAGGGGTGGGTTTAGCCAGAACAGGGGGCAGCCCTTCCCCGGTCACCTCAGGGCTTCTCCGCCCCTTAATCGGATCAGCTGAGCCGCTCCATTCACAAAACCACTGATTCGCGGGTGCCACGCAGGCCGCTTTGCAGCCCATTGCGGCTGCAAAAGAAGCCAGAGGCCAAGCAACACAACCAATACTAGATTTTCCTCACCTCTTTTTACCAACATGCACACATGTGCTTCCCCCCCCCCCTCTTAGTTCACATTGTAATGCATGCATAAATAGCTATGTTACCATAAGTGAAATTAAACAGAAAAAAAAATCTTTTCAGAAATTTCCTACATAGAGGGTTACGCCTGGGTATATAGATCAGTGTTTCTCAACCTTGGCAACTTGAAGATGTCCGGACTTCAACTCCCAGAATTCCCCAGCCAGCATTCGCTGGCTGGAGAATTGCTATGTTACCATAAGTGAAATTAAACAGAAAAAAAAAATCTTTTCAGAAATTTCCTACATAGAGGGTTAGGGCAAAGTATATAGATCAGTGTTTCTCAACCTTGCTGACTAAAATGGATAGACTTCAACTCCCAGAATTCCCCAGCCAGCTGTGCTGGCTGGGGGATTCTGGGAGTTGAAGTCCATAGGACTTAAA